ACACATGTATTAGCATACACAGACACACACACACACGTACTAGCATACACAAACACACACACACACGTACTAGCATACACAAACACACACACACACACACACACACATGTATTAGCATACACAGACACACACACACACGTACTAGCATACACAAACACACACACACACACGTACTAGCATACACAGACACACACACACACGTACTAGCATACACAAACACACACACACACGTACTAGCATACACAAACACACACACACACGTACTAGCATACACAAACACACACACACACACACATGTATTAGCATACACAGACACACACACACACGTACTAGCATACACAAACACACACACATACATACTAGCATACACAAACACACACACACATGTACTAGCATACACAAACACACACACACACACACACATGTATTAGCATACACAGACACACACACACACGTACTAGCATACACAAACACACACACACACGTACTAGCATACACAAACACACACACACACACATACATACTAGCATACACAGACACACACACACACGTACTAGCATACACAAACACACACACACACGTACTAGCATACACAAACACACACACACACACGTACTACCATGCACACACACGTACTAGAATGCACACAAACACACGTACTAGCATACACACATACTAGCATGCACACACACGTACTAGCATACACACACACACATGTATTAGCATACACAAACACACACACACACGTACTAGCATACACAAACACACACACACACACGTACTAGCATACACAAACACACACACACACGTACTAGCATACACAAACACACACACACACGTACTAGCATACACACACACACACACGTACTAGCATACACAAACACACACACACACGTACTAGCATACACAAACACACACACACACACACGTACTAGCATACACAAACACACACACACACACATACATACTAGCATACACAGACACACACACACACACGTACTAGCATACACAAACACACACACACACGTACTAGCATACACAAACACACACACACACGTACTAGCATACACAAACACACACACACACGTACTAGCATACACAAACACACACACACACACGTACTAGCATGCACACACACGTACTAGCATGCACGTACACACACACACACATACTAGCATACACACACACATACTAGTACACACACACACACATACTGGCATACACACACACAAATATCGGGACATGGATAACACCTGGGGCCAGGTGACCCGGTTAGGGTTAACCCAACAACAATCAGAACGTTTCATTGGCTCCTCAACTGAAGGAAGCTTCTGCTGCAGTCAGAAAAATATCAAACCATACTATTAGTTTTACTGTGAGGTCATATGATGATGTCATCATTTAATGACGTGTCAGTTCCATGGATCAGCTTGGAACTGGTTCAGAACTGGTCAGTGGATCCGCTGTTTTCCTCCTTATGACGTGTGGAGCTTTCCTCCAGAACAACCGACCCGTTCTGGTCCATATGGAGACGTGGGTCTCTGTTCAGGTAGAAAAGTGTGTGTGTGTGTGCGTGTGTGTGTGTGTGTGTGTGTGTGTGTGTGTGTGTGTGTGTGTGTGTGTGTGTGTGTGTGTGTGTGTGTGTGTGCGTCCAGGGTGTCTCTGTTCGAGTGCGACTTACCAGAGTGAATTAACGGCCGTGTGTAATCACTCTGCATTATGGAGCAGTTCAATAAACAGACACTGCAGGTCGGAGGCATGTCACACTGCTGCTGTCAATACCAGCTTCACACACACACACACACACACACACACACACACACACACACACACACACGCACACACACACCGGCAGAGCGGCTCCCTGCGGGGAGTCGTGACTTATTCTCTCTGAAGAGGAGGAAAAACACAAAGATGTGATCAATAGGTGTGAGAGGAGCCGCTCCCTGCTGCAGCTGCCTGAGGATGGATGCTGTTAGAGGGCAGTAAAACCAGGACTCTGGCCCTATTTCAGCTTATCGTCATCACCATCTCTGTCGCTCACAGCTCCATCCTCCTGGGTGAAATATCTGCTTCACTGAGGGAGAGAGAGGAAGACTCCTCCATCCTGTGAAGGATCCGCTCAGATCCGGTTCTGCTTTTAAGATGTTTTACTGAAGGACACCAGGAAACTTCTACATGGAGACCTCTCACTGCAGACAGTCATCGATCATGGCTGAGTTTCACTGCTGGCTTATTTCTGTTCATACGTTACGTAAAACAGACGCAGCAGCCTCTGGACAAACGCCAGCAGCTCGTCTGTGACTGAAGGCCTCGCTCGTTTAAGACACGACTTTACTTCCTCCACAAACGGAGGAAGTTTCAGGCGGAGTTCAGCGAAACGGACAAGTTTCCTCTTTCAGACCAAAGTGGTGAAGTAAAAACAACTCATGAGTGTCAACAACACATGATCTCAGAAATGTCCTTCAGCTCCGCCCACGTGTCCAGATGTGGTCATGTGACTGCTCCTGTGGAGCTGAGCCAGCCAGGCAGAGGCTTCCACAGCTGCTCACATCTGGGAGCTGTCAGAAACATCTGGATGTGTTTGTTCCAGAGATGTTTGGTCTGATGTGACGTTTGTCGCTTTGCCTGAAGAGAACCGGTCAATGTTTTCACACGAGGAGCTCCCATCGGCCTCCCGAGGGAGCCCGGAGACTCGTAACCCTGGAGGGCTTTTAAGGGACGGTTTCATATCTGGTGAGGTCACCAGGGTCACACGCTGGTGTGAGGGTGGGGCTGCAGCACCGAAGCCGTCCTGATGCTGAGCAGCAAAAAGGAGGCCCGAAGCGAGACCGTAAATGGAAACCTGAGGGAGCGTCTCAGAGGACAACTACAGCCGTTTGCTCTCCGTGAGCACCTTCGTTAGGAAACGCCACGCTGGGCAGATTTTCACTTCAAATAAAAATGTCCTGAAGTAGAAACAGTTGTGAGAAGAGCCGTGAAGAATGAAACGGCTCAATAATAAAAGTTAAAGGAACTCTGCTGCTAAAGCTAAAACGCTGCAGCTGAAACAACAACTGAAGCAGCCGTTTTAATAAAAGCATGACTCATTAACATGTTTCCGTGGCAACGTCATTGTCAGTCATTACTCATGGCGTCGAGCAGAAGAGGACGTGAGTTGTGTTGCTTCTAATAAGTCGACCGAACTTCAAAGCTTTTATTTTGAAACTCACATTTTTGTAATAATTTGAATTAAAACTGAAAAAATGTTTAAAGTGAAATTCCCCCCCAGATGTTTCCTTTAGAAGGGGTGGGGATTCAGATTGTTGGAAGAGGTCGATCGGGTCAGAAATCGGCACGATTCTCCTGCCCCGTGAACTAAAGTCACGTTTGGACCGTGTTCTGAGTCGGCCACATGCTGGCGTTGGTCTGTCCACAACCTGGAGACAGAGCTCAGTGGTGGGGCGGGGTCTACGGCTGTCCTTCAAACGGTCTCTGCATGCAGATGGAGAACGAGCGTGATGTTGTCACTGCTGCAGATGTCAGTCAGCGAGGCAGTCCACCACACTCCATGGGTAAAGATTCCCACCTCTGTCCTGAACGAACGCCCATGTTTAGAACAAGTTGGTGCCATCTTGGTTATTTTGGTCTGTAACAGCCCACCCAACCGATGGAGCGCTGTGATTGGCCCATGCGATGTGACTGGGACAACACCAGACTGATGGGCCTGCTGAGGCTGGAGGCGGGGCTACAGACAACAGCCCTTCTGCTACAAAAATGAAGAATTTAAATAAACATTGGAGTTTTTGGTGAATTGGAGCAAAAATCCTGTTAAACTGGGTTTTCTTTGGGATTCGGATTAAAAACCAGATTATTCCTGCATGGTTATGGAGTTTAAATTAGACCGTAGGCATGGCTCATCCCTTGGGTTATGCAGCTGTTTTAGAATAAAAGCACCCAACAAAACGAAGCTCTGCGCTGCCTCCTGCTAGTTTGTGTCAATAATCATTAATAACATCTGTTTTCTTTTAAATACATTTAATTTATGATAAATTACTTTTAATTGTCAAACCTTCAGTTTCATTCATAATAATCCTGTTTTTTCTAAATGATAAAAGTAAATGTCACACACGCGCGAGCACGCACACACGCGCGCGCGCCATCCTACCCAACATCATTTCCACGTGTTCCGACGAGCTCCGTGTTTCTTGTTAATAATCAAAAATAAGGATTTCAGTTAAATAAAAATGTATTTGGCTGAGCAGTGGCGCAGTGGTTAGAGCTGTCCTGGGTTCGATTCCCGGCCTGGGATCTTTCTGCATGGGCATGTTCTCCCTGTGCATGCGTGGGTTCTCTCCGGGTTCTCCGGCTTCCTCACAGTCTGAAAACGTGACTGTTAGGTTGACTGGTCTGTCCAAAATTGTCCTTGTGTGTGAGTGTGTGTGTGTGTGTGTGTGTGTGTGTGTGTGTGTGTGTGTGTATGTATGTGTGTGTGTGTGTGTGTGTGCGTGCGTGCGTGTGTGCGTGCGTGCGTGCGTGCGTGTGTGTGTGTGTGTGTGTGTGTGTGTGTGTGTGTGTGTGTGTGTGCGTGCGTGCGTGCGTGCGTGCGTGCGTGCGTGTGTGTGTGTGTGTGTGTGTGTGTGTGTGTGTGTGTGTGTGTGTGTGTTGCCCTGCGATGGACTGGCTCTCTGTCCAGGGTGAACCCCGCCTGACTGCCCATTGACCGCTGGAGATAGGCATCAGCAACCCCCCCCCCCCCCCCCCCCCCCCCCCCCCGGTAAAATGGATGGATGGAATCGTGTATTTGATGTTTTTATTGATGAGACACCGGAAGCAGCAGAATAATCGGACTCGTTTCCGTTTCTCTGCTTTTTTCTCGTTGTTTTAGTTTAATGTTTAAATGTTAGTTGTGATTAATTTGCGCGGAAGCATCCAAACATGCCTGCGTGCGCGCTCTCCGTGCGCCTCTACGCGGCGCGCGCTGGCGCGGAGTGGAGGGCGGACCCGGGTGGCATACGCGTGCATGTCAGTGTGCGCGCGCCTCCTGCCCGCAGCCGCTGCAAGTCGCACCGAGCAAACAGCGGCTTTTGTGCGCATGATGCACCGTGATCGACGCACCTGAGAGGAGCGACAGAGCCAGCCCGGTACCGCCAGGCGCCCCGCCGCTCCGCACCGCACCGCAGCCGCGCAGCACGCGCAAGGGAACACCGCTGCTTCCAACTGAATCCTGGATTTTAAAAAGTGCGGCTGTTTGCAGAGTTTGCTGCTGGATTTTAGCAGGTGGATACTTTCGTGTTCTACTGATCCGAGGTCAGTTGCGTCGTCTGTATGGGTCCAGCCTGTTTCCGGTACCGGTTTGGGCTGAAAGCTGAATGTTTGGGGCAGGGACAGGCGCAGGCTCCAAAGGGATGTGAGGATGGTGTCTGGTCCTGGTGGACCGGTACTACAGGACTTTTACAGGAGTTTTATTCTCTGTGTTTTTCTTTTTACGCACGGGATCAATGGATGTTTCCATCCGGACGCAGTTCGGGTCTCCTTGAAGTACTGGGTTGGCGGTTCGGGGGTCCAGACAGATATTTTGCCATGTTGGCCTTTAAATCCTGCGTGACGGGCGGGTGTAGAAGCAGACCCGCTGGTTGATTGATTCTTATTTTTATTGAAGGTTTTGCTAACATGAAAACGTAAATTACGTTGGAGAGCGTGTTTGGGTTGCTCGGCGTAAAAGTGTCCGAGCTGCCAGCAGAAGCAGCTCCTCCCGGTTTTAGGCTGATGAATAATGGAGAG